AAAAAAAAAAAAAAAAAAATTATCTGGTAAAGAAATGGTTGCAGCACTGTGCACAAGCAAGAGAAAATTAACCTGTACACCCTGGCAGAGAGGAAGGGATAGAGGAGGCCCAGCACAGCCCGGACCCATGTTCAAGGAGCACTGCAACACAGGAGCCAGGGCTCAGCACCCCTCAGAACCTCTTGTCAAAGTGTTTGATAAGATGAACACAGAATTTCTCTAAGTTACAAGTATGGGAAGTCTTCAGTGCATTAACTATAAAACAAATACCTAACAATAGGTTCTATGGTAGAAATCTAACAAAACAGACCAAATCCCTAAACAGAGAGGCACAGTGCACCACTCCACATGGGCAGTGAGGGAACCCCACAGACCTGCCGAACAGCTGGATTCCCGACAATGCTAACTAAACTACAGCTAAGAACAGAGACTGCAAACACACAATGCAAGAACCACTAGAACTCCGCAGTGCCAGGCACACCCACCACTACAGTCGGTGGCCAGCCAGTGCCAGGCACACGCACCACTACAGCCTGTGACCGACTAATACCAAGCCCGCCCACCACTACAGCCAGCAACCAGCCAGTGCCAGGCATACCTACCACTACAGCTAGCAATCTCAATCCTCCTGTCAGAAGCACAATGAGTACACATAAAGGACTCTGGGCAAGGACTGTGAAGATCCTGTATCATTAGGAGACATTCCTCTTTGCTTCTGGTAACACACTTTGTCTAAAGTGGTATGCAACACTGGTCCATCATTTGAAGAAATTCAATAAATTTTACATTAATAAAATTAAAAGGTCACATGACCAACTCAAAAGCTATAGAAAAAACATTTGGAAAAAGTCAACACATCCATTCAGGACATTCATACTCTCAGCAAACAAGGTGTAGAAGGAAATTCCTCAGCTCACTACAACACATCTAAGAGAGATTCACAGTGGCAGGCAGTAGCTCACACTTATAATCCCAGTACTCTGGAAGGGTGGTTGTCTGAGCTCAGAAGTTCAAAACCCAACCTCTACTAAAACCAGAAAAACCAACCAGCGTTGTAGCGGGAGCCTGTAGTCACAGCTACTATGGAGATTGAGACAAGAGGATCGCTTGAGCCCAAGAGTTTGAGGTTGCTGTGAGCTGTGATGCCATAGTACCCTACCCAAGGCAACAAAGTGAGACTATCTCAAAACAAACACAAAACAGACAAAGAAAAATTCAAAACTGAACCTAAAAACAGTACCATGTTAACAGCACCCAACACATGAAATACTCAGGGATAAATATAACAGAATACGTGTGAGATCTGGATGCTAAAAATCACAAAAGACTAATGAGAGAAATTAAAGACCTAAATAAATGGAGAGAGATACTGGAGAGAAATGCTGATTTTCACACAAAAACCTTTATGGACATATAAATATTTATGGCAATTTTACTCTTTATCAAGAAAACCTGGCTCGGCGCCTATAGCTCAACCGGCTAGGGCGCCAGCCACGTACACCTAAGGTGGCGGGTTCGAATCCCCAGCCCGGACCCGCCAAACAACAATGATGGCTGCAACCAAAA